TCTGTGGTGCACATGTGAGAAATATGATCATAAGTTCCAAATATCATCAAAAGTTGAATGGAACATGGAACAAAATAACATAATATCCCTTCATATGTGGAAAATGTGACCCACATCTGGGAAATTGTTTTAACATATATCATGATAAACCTTGTTAAATGCACTGGTGTGCAGTCATGTTTGAATAAAAAAGGAACAAGTCCAAAACGTTCCCAGAAAACTTGGCAGTTTTTAATTCGGAGAGCCAGATCTCTAGCACATAGGCATAAAACCCCTTTTCCTCAATGGCCAGTGTCCTGAAACTTTTATAAGACATTCTGCTCCAACACCTCAGTAAACAGTCAAGTTTTAAATGCTGCAAATTATATAAATATATGATACATGTTTGTTGAACCAGAAACATATGTAATTTATTTAAATCACTGCTCCAGAGTCTCAGAGAGATAATGCTTTACCTGATCTGATATTTTGCATTGCACTTGGCAATGTAGCTTTAGCTATTGCTATGTGAAGATTCTATTCATTAATCTGGGGATAATCTAAAGGTCAAATAAAAATTGGAGCTCTGAGGATAGTAACCTCCAATAGATTAAACAGTCAGAATTAGAAGTTAGAAACCCTATCTCTAGATTTAAGATGACTACTCTAATAAACTGTGAATAAAACTTTGGTACTTTGACTGTTTTAAGAAGGTATTATGTAAGAGTTGGTCATAAGCATATTATTATTTTTTTTTATTTACAAGATGAGATGTGTGCAGAACATAATGCATAGAACAATGTTTTTGTCCATAAAAGTTTTAAGCTATGAACAGGTCTGGTGACAGAGCAAAACCTGGCCTGAGCCCAACATGCTCCAGGAATAAGGTCATACTTTAATTTGGCAGTGGGTATCAGACTCTTGGTCCACTTGTATAGAGACCGAGAAGTCCCTAGTTAAGTCTGACTCCAAGCACCCAGCCTTTGCTTCAAAGGCAAAGGCTTGACAGCAAGGCTTAAGGGATCCTCAAAAAAATCGTTCCACTATCTGAAAATGTCCTCAGTTGAGGTCAGCAGCTCCCACTGTAAGAGCTTTTAACAAAGGACTGCTTCCCACCCATTAGACCGAGATAGTTTGCCTTTTTTTGCTTTGTTCATGACTCTTTCTTCTTGGCCTCACTGGACTCCGCTCAGGCATGGGTTTTTTTTCTCGCAGTACCTGTTAGCTGCCTAAGGAGCCCCACAAACCTACCAGGCTTGATAGGACTTCTGCTTCAGCTTGATGGCATCCCTCACTGACGGTGTCTACCACAGGGTTTAAGGGTTCCTCTTTGTATGGTCCATAATAATTACCCCTGCAATGGGTGGGCCCCCTGTGGGAAGGTCTTGCATCACTTATTTAGGCTTGGCCAGTCCAGGGCCGACAAGGAGTAACCCAATTATTTGTTCACCAATAAGCCCTAACCGCAGGCCTAACTCAATAGTGTGGCCCCAGCTCCACTATTCTGGATGAGTCATTGGCTTTTATGTCTTTGTTTTATGAGGGCTATTGAACAACTCATTTGACGGGTCACCTAAAGCCTGTTTGCTTTGGAGAACCCTACCAGGAACATTTACTCCTCTAATAACATCCAAGCACTAGAACATTTCCAAGGAATTGGTGATTCAATGAGGTTATGAAAAGCCTATTTTAGTAAAAGCTTTAGATTTTTATTTAACAGCAGTTTAAATTAAGAACTTTTTTAATTGAAGTTGCTGTCAATAGATTAAAAAGCAATTTCTTTTTAGTAAAGGAGCCAAAATGAAGCATTGAGATGCTCCAAGTGCTGTATACTGATTTGAAAAATGTTTTAATATCTAAAGTTAGGTTAATGCTTGCAAGAAACATTATGCTTTATGCTACGATTTTGGTTAGGAGTTTAGGGTACACACTTTTGCTGTATCAGGTAATTCTTTTTATTAAATAAATTCATAGTTTTTGTACCATCTAAGATCATGTCACAGTATTTCAGAATACTTGTATGTTTTGTTAGTTTTGTTTACTAATTGATTTTATTTTCTACCGAAACAGAAATTCAACAAGAAACCAATGTCAATGTAAACAATGTTATCCTTTCCCTTTTTGTTCTTCTTGGATAGCTTACAGACAGTATAGTTAAAGTATCATACCATATTACAAAAACATTCCAGACTCTTCGCAGACGTCTTGTGCAATGATTCAAATGTTTCTCGGTAACGCTGAAAAAAATGATAAACAGAAAAAAATTATAAACAGAAACATTGTTACAACACCTAAAAAGGGTTTCAACAAGTTATTACAATATTCAGCATTTGCAACAGTTGGTGTTGCTGTGTAGTACAAATGATGAAGATGGTGGTGACGATGATAATGATAGAGAGGCTGGTAACATAAGCAGCGCATTTGCACCTCTGCAACCTGAGGCTCCCTCTGGTGTTTAAAAGAAACCAATGACCCCAGCCGTCAACATGACTAAATACTCACATGTGTGACAAGTCGTTAGCACTTGCAGGGAATTATAGTGCACACAAGTTATGAGGTTGTGCTGAGAAATGTTCTCAGATAATAAAATGAAAGAATAATAAAGGGACCACACAAAGTCAGTAGACTGAAAAAAGGCAGTAAATTAACTTTCAAAGAATCTAAAACTAGTTTTTGTTATATGATGATGATGATGATGATGATGAACTTTGTCTGCTTGATAAAGTCATTAGCTATTAAAATGAGACTTCTCACCTTCTCATATATCTAGGGCTCTTTAAAAAGAAATACAAGTAACCAGAACAAAAAAAACAAAAAACAACTTTGGACATTTATCAAACTAAAAGACACCCCATTCAGTAGACTATATTTAGGTGCAACCTTTTAAAAACATTAATTAAATGGTATATCATACAAGGCTTACAAAAAGGAGGTCTACACAAAGGAATTCAAAAAGTACTAACGCCCCTGACTTTCAGAACCTGCTTCTACAGTAGCATAGGTTAAAACCACATCCATTGGTGCTGAAAGGATTTCAAAAAGAACCTTTTAAACAGGCAACTTAAGGAAAAACTTGAACTTCACATACATTTCATCAAATCTTCTCTTCTACTTTTTATCTTACATCTCAAAAGTCCTCTAGGCTTCTACCAAAATTGAAAACAATAAATACAGATTATAATTACAACTGCATAACAAATGTATTTATAAAGAACTATTCAGTACTTACAAAGTTGTATAGTGATGATGTTTTTTTTCGTAAATCCATGCTGTTTGTAACCACTCGGTGGACTGGAATGTTATTCAGCAATCACCTTGGTTTGTTATCCTGCACCCAGCTGTTACTCTTTGACAAATACAGAAGCAGACACACCTACATCCAAGGTCATAAAAACACAATATGCCTCTTGAGCATGTGGTATTTTCCTTGAGCATAAACACAAGCCAGGTGCTATATTTGAAATCTTTCCTTATAAGACAGAAGACTTCAATGTAGGAATCATAACCCCGGCCTTTATTACAATTCAGATGTGTGTTATATCTCCTAGTTATCTACTTAAGCAATTCTTTCATTGTGATTGGGTAATGTAATCCTTTTTCAGACAAAACAGAGGGTACAAGCTCCTGAACTCACACTTTCCCTCTGCAACGTCTTCCTAAAGCTTTTAACACACTGGAGACATTAATAAAAAAAAAAAAATCATGCTTAAATATACACAAAACACATGTTATTTTTGGTTTATTCTTTAAAACCTCAAGGAAGAAGAGCTGTAAGCCATCCCTCAGCTGCTCCACATTTAGCAATTGTCTCAGCCTCCCTTGTGTATCCCTTAAGAAGAAGAATAAGAGCAGCTGTTGGCACTGTTGTGTGAAGTAATCCCTTTGGCAATCCCTGCTTTTCTTCAAAGCTCAGAGGCACTCCTTTTATTTTATAATCATCACTGACCTGTAAGGACTCTGAAACTGGATATTGATGACTTTTTAAAGCCTTACAGAAGCATAGCGGAGTGCTGCTTTTGTGCCAGAGGGCATTAAAAAGATGCTTCAGTCATACCTTTGGAACTTCTGATTCAACTTCACAAAAATTGCACAAGCATCTGTATGGTTTTTCATAGACATGTTACAAAACAGAAAGAGTTAGACTATGTACCACATTTGCATGAAAAATAAACAACAAGTGCATTGATAAAAAAATATATATATAACAGTTTTAATAGTTTTAGTTTTGAATCACCAAATTTCTTTAAAGAAAAGTCTAAGACCCAAACAACCAAAACTAGACATGGAACATAAACTTTTATCAGAAATCCTTTAATTAAAATCAAATATTTTTATTAAAAATTTAAACATTTTCTGAGATCTTTCTCCTTTCTGCGATGAATGGCATGCGATAGCCATAAACCCTATTGGCACAATGGAGACAGGCACTTCTAAAAAAGTGTAGTGACAGTCGACAGTACCAAATACAGCAACAAACATGTGATTGGCTCCCATCAGACTATATAAAAAGGAGCCGTAAACAGCAACCTCAAGAGGCACCCAGCAAAGGTACGTTTTTCAAGATATTATCACATTCTTTAATATTAAATCTGATAACAGAAAATTGTAGAAAATAATAATAAAGGTTTGGTCAGCTATAAGATGTTTGATTTTTTTTTCTATTTTAAATCAAGTATTACAGACTCCACAGGTGGTGATAGTAAACCTATTCCTATGTCTTTATCTAGAACTTTGCCCTGACATCAGCAACAACACATTCTGCTCAATTGGTGTTTTAAAAGGTAAATAAAGCTAATTAATAGTTCTGCCAAAAAAGAACAAAAAATTTGAATCTGAATTTGGATTTCATTTGTGACATTATTGGAGTATTGCTTATGTTTCTTGGGGAAAACAGATAAATGCTTTTTGAATGTTTTTCCTTGAGCATGTTTTTGGGGTTACCTTTTCTTGCAGCGGAGCCATGAGTACAGACAATATTAAAATATTGGATTGTTGTTTTGCTCTTCCAGTAAACCGTCATCATGAGTGGGGATGCAGAAATGGAGTGTTTTGGCCCGGCGGCCATATACCTCCGCAAGCCAGAAAAAGAGCGTCTTGAAGCTCAGAACACTCCCTTTGATGCTAAAACGGCATACTTTGTGACTGAGCCTGCTGAGATGTACCTGAAGGGGAAACTTATAAAGCGAGAGGGCGGCAAAGCCACAGTGGAGACCCTTACTGGCAAGGTGAGGATAAAAGGGTCATGACCCTGAGGTAGAAGATGGAACTGGACAATGAGGCACAGATTGTGATATGTTGGGTCTGTCAAATGATGCCCTGATAGACAGACACCACCTGTTGGAAACATAAACCACAGGTCTATGAGAATATTCAGGAAAAGGCTTTTTTCCCCCTTCTTTTGATGCTGAGGTTGACTTGAGCCACAGCACTGAAACTGTACTATGTTTTAGCTAAACTTTAATTCAATAATGGTAAAGTTTCTGTTTTTCTTAAATGTTATTCACTAAAAGAAGTGTTATTTGTAGTCTTATTTAAATAGAGATGAAGGTTATAAAGAACTGAAAATAAGCCCTGAGGAGTAATCGCCTTCGGGGACCTACAGCCTGTATTGCAGTATCAAACAAAAGCAGTAAACTTAATGTGATTGCAAAGAATAAGAAAATGAATGCATCAAACTTTAATCAAATGACAAATCTCATAAAGCATATTTGTGAATATTAAAATTTGTCTAAAGTTACCTACTTCTTCACTACACAGTTATATGGAAGTAAAGTAGGATTTCTTAGTTGGTTGCAGTCAAACAAATAGTTATATTTATTAGATAAAGATGTGATATATATTTTTTTCCCCGTAAAAGTTCAAAAAGATCCACTGGACTAGGTTTCCAAGATTTGAACGCGCATTCCTAAGAATCTTTTCTACCCTGTGTCCTTTGACAGTAGACTTCAGTCTTAAACTGTTGGGAATGAGTCCTTGCTGTCTACATCTTAAATTGAAACATAGATGGTTCCTATAATCTGCCAGTTTCCTAAGCAATTTCTCATACTCACGCATTATTCCCAAGGGGGGGGGGCTTTCCCAAAATGGAGTGCAATATGCTGATGAAGATTCTCAGTCATCCAGGTCATAGTCATTCCGGAGAAGTTCAAAAAAATCCACTGGATTTGTTTTCCAAGAAATTTGTGTTTTTTTTAACTTTTACGGGATGACTATGACCTGGATGACCGAGAATCTTCATCAGCATGTGATAGTTTTGTATAATTAAAGCAGGGTTTCATCATTGAAAAAGGACACAGAGTACTCTTCACACATAACCATTCTGACCATGCATGTGTCTTTTGGATACATTTTTAGACTCTCACCGTGAAGGAAGATGAAATCTTCCCCATGAACCCACCGAAGTTTGATAAAATTGAGGACATGGCCATGATGACCCACCTCAATGAGCCTGCTGTGCTGTATAACCTCAAAGAGCGATATGCAGCATGGATGATCTACGTAAGTTTGTCCAAATATAAATATCAGTGGCTTAAACCTATGATGGCTGCAAAAACTTTTGTGTCATCATCATGATAATTTGTGACCCTGCAGACCTACTCTGGGTTGTTCTGCGTCACTGTGAACCCCTACAAGTGGCTCCCAGTATACGATGCGATGGTTGTTGCAGGATACAGGGGCAAAAAAAGAATTGAGGCTCCTCCCCACATCTTCTCCATCTCTGATAACGCCTATCAGTTCATGCTCCAAGGTATCAGACGTTCTTTAATCAGTTCATAAACACAGCAGTCACACCTCAAACTTCCACCTCTTAACTATTTTCCTAATTTTTCCTCTGACAGATAGAGAAAACCAGTCTATCCTGATTACGTAAGTGTGGCAAGTTTGATGCATTTCTGTTTTCCTAACAATAATTGAATCAGTAGTTTTCTAATAAAACTGTGAATCTTCAAACCAGTGGAGAATCTGGTGCAGGAAAGACTGTGAACACCAAACGTGTCATCCAGTACTTTGCGACAATCGCAGTGTCCTCCACTGGAAAGAAAGCTGAACCAATTCCTGGAAAAATGCAGGTTAGTTACTTTGATTCACAACAAAATATTGTGAATAAGTAAACAAAGACCTGCTGAACTGATGAGACCAATGTTGCCTTCAGGGATCACTGGAAGATCAGATCATTGCAGCCAACCCACTGCTGGAAGCTTATGGAAATGCCAAGACTGTGAGGAATGACAACTCCTCTCGTTTTGTAAGTTAGGGTTAAAATGGTCTCCTTGTTTTCAGTGAAAACTGTTCATTGCAGGAGAATTTTAAGATGTTTTCTTGTTTCCACACAGGGAAAATTCATTAGAATCCATTTTGGTTCAACTGGAAAGTTGGCTTCTGCTGATATTGAAACATGTAAATCTTTCTTTTAAATCTTCTTCCACAATTCTATATTTATGTTTGAAAATGTTGATTTTCTTGAATGAGAACAACCTGAATCCTTACAGATCTGCTGGAGAAGTCTAGAGTGACATTCCAGCTGTCTGCTGAGAGGAGCTACCACATCTTTTATCAGCTGACAACAGGCCACAAACCTGAGTTAGTTGGTGAGAAAGATTCATATTCCTGTTACTCTAAAGCTGACCTAGAACACCACCGTAGTAATACATTGCTCATATCTAAAACATATATTTCATGAAAACAATCAATTATTTTGTTTTTGCTCCAGAGGCTCTCCTGATTACAACTAATCCCTACGACTATCCCATGATCAGTCAGGGGGAAATCAGCGTGAAGAGTATCGATGACGTTGAAGAATTCATGGCCACCGATGTAAGAAAAATTCAAATATTTTTCATTATAACTAAGTGAGGTTAGCTGTCGCAACTGTATTTTAATAACCATGTTTCTGGGACTCAACCATAACAATCCAGTCTGAAAGGCAAGCAACAGCATCTAAATGAGTCTTTTTTATAAAACAATGGCTTGACAGACAATCATTATCCCTTTTCTTCAGAGACATATGTACACTGCAAATATGTAGGATCTAATGTTGATTGTTTTCTGGCTTACTATATACTGCAATATGGTACTCAGTGTAACACATTTTTTCTTTATACACAGACTGCCATCGACATTCTGGGTTTCACTCTGGAGGAAAAGATGAGCATGTACAAACTGACAGGAGCTGTGATGCATCATGGAAACATGAAATTCAAGCAGAAGCAGCGTGAGGAGCAGGCTGAGCCTGATGGCACAGAAGGTATAAAATAAAACATACGGTTATAATAAGTCCTGGAGTTTTCGTGTCTTTAAGGAGAACTGAGCAGAACTTCTTTTTCTATTAGTGGCTGATAAAATCGCCTATCTGATGGGTCTGAACTCTGCCGATTTGCTCAAAGCTTTGTGTTACCCTAGAGTGAAGGTTGGGAATGAGTATGTGACCAAAGGTCAAACTGTACCCCAGGTAATTAATACAACAGATCAACTGACTGCCATAGTTTGATAAGTATGTTTTCATGTCCTAACTTTTTGGTCAAGTTACGTGTTAATATAATGCACATTTTGTCTGACACAAGGTCAACAATGCAGTGAGTGCTCTCTGCAAGTCTGTCTATGAGAAGATGTTCTTGTGGATGGTTGTCAGAATCAATGAGATGTTGGACACCAAACAGCCAAGGAGCTTCTTTATCGGTGTCTTGGACATTGCTGGCTTTGAAATCTTTGATGTATGTAAATCATGAGTTATCCTTCAGTGAAGCAGATCAGTAAATATCTAACAGAGTTTGTCATCTTACAGTTCAACAGCTTGGAGCAGCTGTGCATCAACTTCACCAATGAAAAACTGCAACAGTTCTTCAACCATCACATGTTCGTTCTGGAACAAGAAGAGTATAAGAAAGAGGGAATTGAATGGGAGTTCATTGACTTTGGCATGGACTTAGCTGCATGCATTGAGCTCATTGAGAAGGTTTGCCACATGCTGAATTAGTCCTGCACAGAAAATCCTTTAGATCACTTGAAATCTCTGGTTGTTCATTTTATTTTATTTTTATCCTGACAGCCACTGGGAATCTTCTCCATCCTTGAAGAGGAGTGTATTGTTCCCAAGGCAACAGACATGACCTTCAAGAGCAAACTGTATGACCAACATCTGGGGAAAAGTGCTCCCTTCCAGAAGCCAAAACCTGCCAAAGGCAAAGCTGAGGCTCATTTCTCTCTGGTGCACTATGCTGGCACTGTGGACTACAATGTCAATGGCTGGCTGGAAAAGAATAAGGACCCCCTGAATGACACTGTGGTCCAACTTTACCAGAAGTCTGCATCTAAGCTCTTGGCTTACTTGTATGCAACCCATGCCTCAGGAGAGGGTAAGAAGTATATTGCTAAATGTCTTTGTTTTTTATAACAACAACATACAAGAGACTAACAGTATACGAGTAATTATTTGATAGGCCATTGAAAGTTTGTTCCAGATGTCAGATTACTTTTATGTTCTAGGTGAGGGTGGTGGAAAGAAAGGTGGCAAGAAGAAAGGAGGATCGTTTCAGACCGTATCGGCTTTGTTCAGGGTTAGTAAGACTTACTACAAAATTTTACTTAGAAGCTTTTTCGGAAATACCATCAAGCAGAAAAAAAAAATTACAAACTTTCTTATTTGCATTTAATGTGTACTTTTGAATTTTCAACTTTTTCAGGAAAATTTGGGCAAGCTGATGACCAACTTGAGGAGCACCCACCCTCATTTTGTAAGATGCCTAATTCCAAACGAATCCAAAACTCCTGGTAAGCTCAATCCCTCTCTGATGCATTTACATACCCCACCATGTGTAACACAGCGGCATACTAAATTTTATGTGCACTTCAGGGCTGATGGAGAACTTCCTAGTCATCCACCAGCTAAGGTGTAACGGTGTGCTGGAGGGTATCAGGATCTGCAGGAAAGGTTTCCCCAGCAGGATCCTCTATGGTGACTTCAAGCAGAGGTAATATTTGGACTTACACCTTCATTGCCTGATTACTTACAGAATAATAACGGAACACTGGTTTTTCCTTTTGCCAGATACAAAGTATTGAATGCCAGTGTCATCCCTGAGGGACAATTTATCGACAACAAGAAGGCCTCTGAGAAACTCTTGGGCTCTATTGATGTTGACCACACTCAGTACAAGTTTGGGCACACAAAGGTAAAGTAATATGAATTGGTTTGGTAATGGTATATGTAACAATATACAGTAAGCAATGTTATATGATTATAAGCAAATTGCCTCCCAGAGTAAATCGTTTGCTAGGTTTTTTTCATATGCTCTGATCAAAAGGTCTTGTCTAATCTGATATTAAAGCATACAATTTAAAGTCTACTTTGAGGTTTCTACGTAAAACCTCAAAGCTTTTGAAATTATATAGTTCTATATCATAATTATGATAACAGGAAATTGTACTGTGTTATATCATACTGTCATCAAGAGGGAACATATTCTATAAAACAGCGCCAAACGCTGTTGTACTCCATAAAAAACTCTTGTGCAAGGAGAAAAGGTTTTTGTGTATCTCGAGTGTAAACATATTGACAATGTCTTTTCAGGTGTTCTTCAAGGCTGGTCTGCTTGGTCTCCTGGAGGAAATGCGAGATGAAAAACTTGCTATTCTGGTCACAATGACTCAGGCCCTCTGCAGAGGCTTCCTGATGAGACGAGAATTTGTCAAAATGATGGAACGCAGGTGATTTATGCATTTTGAAACATGAAAGGCAAGTTGCAAGTATTTAGCAACCCTTACCGATTCATTTTCAAAACTTCCAGAGATGCCATTTTCACCATCCAATACAACATCCGTGCATTCATGAATGTCAAGACTTGGCCATGGATGAAGTTGTACTTCAAGATTAAGCCTCTCCTGAAGAGTGCAGAGACAGAGAAAGAGATGGCCCAAATGAAGGAGGACTTTGCCAAGACCAAGGAGGATCTGGCGAAGGCTTTGGCTAAGAAGAAAGAACTGGAGGAGAAAATGGTTTCTCTCCTTCAGGAGAAGAATGACCTGCAGCTACAGATTCAGTCGGTATGTTTTTGAGTTATGGCCTTCATTTCTCAGGATACTCATGTTGCTAATGTTTAAAGTACTCTTTTTGTCTCTACTCTTAAAATCTAGGAGGGGGAAAACTTGGCTGATGCAGAGGAAAGATGTGAGCAGTTGATTAAAGCTAAAATCCAGCTTGAGGCCAAACTCAAAGAGACGGCTGAAAGACTGGAGGATGAGGAGGAAATAAATGCTGAGCTCACAGCGAAGAAGAGGAAACTGGAAGACGAGTGCTCTGAGTTGAAGAAAGACATTGATGACTTGGAGCTGACTCTGGCCAAAGTGGAAAAGGAGAAACATGCCACTGAAAACAAGGTCGGAGTATAAAAAAAAATCACATTCTGGTTTTGGATACAAGTTTTCCATTATCTTAAACAGGTATTTTTATCAATACAGGTTAAAAACCTTGTAGAGGAAATGGCTTCTCAGGATGAGACCATTGCTAAACTGACAAAGGAGAAGAAAGCCCTCCAAGAGGCTCATCAACAGACCCTTGATGACCTGCAAGCAGAGGAAGACAAAGTCAACACTCTGACCAAAGCCAAGACAAAGCTGGAGCAACAAGTGGATGATGTAAGATCCGATAAGAGAAGCTCGCAGCAATGTTTCTAAAAATGAAAACCAAAATAAATATTTCTACTTTGTTTTAAACAGCTTGAGGGTTCATTGGAGCAGGAAAAGAAGCTCCGTATGGATCTGGAGCGTGCCAAAAGGAAGCTGGAAGGAGATTTAAAACTGGCTCAAGAAACCATAATGGATCTGGAGAATGACAAACAGCAGTCTGAGGAAAAGATAAAAAAGTCAGTAAAACTGGGATTAAGTTTAGTTTTGCTTTATTTACTTTAAAGAATGTGTAAAAAAGGATGTTAACCAACCAAAAAAAACAGCAACTTTTAGCTGCAGGTTGAGATCTGAAGTTATCCATATATTTAAAGCTGTTATTAAACACATTCCTAAACATAAAGTAATGCCAAATTGTTTAACATATTTGAATTTAGCTAATTATATCTGAATATTTCGTGGTTTTGCAGGAAGGACTTTGAAACAAGTCAGCTTCTCAGCAAAATTGAGGACGAGCAAGTTCTTGGTTCTCAGCTTCAGAAAAAGATCAAAGAACTTCAGGTTCATTCAAAATGTGGATTTAATTTACAAACATGTTTAAACTGGATTGATATATTACAATTAGACCTAAGTAATGATTCTATGTTCCTTGGACATATTGTTAGGCTCGTATTGAGGAGCTGGAAGAGGAGATTGAGGCTGAGCGAGCAGCTCGGGCCAAAGTGGAGAAGCAGAGATCTGATCTCTCTAGAGAACTCGAGGAGATCAGCGAGAGGCTGGAGGAGGCTGGAGGAGCCACTGCTGTTCAGATTGAGATGAACAAGAAGCGCGAGGCTGAGTTTCAGAAGCTGCGCCGTGACCTTGAAGAGGCCACCCTGCAGCACGAAGCTACAGCTGCAGCTCTGCGTAAGAAGCAGGCTGACAGCGTGGCAGAGCTGGGTGAGCAGATAGATAACCTGCAGAGAGTCAAACAGAAGCTGGAGAAAGAAAAAAGTGAATACAAGATGGAGATTGATGACCTCTCAAGCAACATGGAGTCTATTGCAAAAGCAAAGGTATATATTTAAGTAAAACTGGAGAACCTCTGCTTTATAACACTATTAAGATTCCACTTTGGATAAAATCACATTTGTCCAATTTAGGGGAACCTTGAAAAAATGTGTCGCACTCTGGAGGATCAGCTGAGTGAAATGAAAGCAAAGAATGAAGAAAATGTGCGACAACTGAATGACATTGGCCTACAGAGGGCAAGACTTCAAACTGAGAATGGTAAAAATTCTTATCTACTTTGTCATTTCTTACAATTGCCTCACAACAGGTAATTCTCTCCATAAACTTTTACATTTTGTTTATTTAGGTGAAATCGGCCGACAGCTGGAGGAGAAAGATGCTTTGATCTCTCAGCTGTCAAGGAGCAAGCAGGCTTTCACTCAACAGATTGAGGAACTTAAGAGGCATATTGAAGAGGAGGTTAAAGTATGTGCTGTTAAACTGTAAAGTCTCGCAAATTTGAATAGTACATGCTAAAACCATTCATTCTTTTTCAGGCCAAGAACGCTCTGGCTCATGCTGTTCAGTCAGCTCGCCATGACTGTGATCTGCTGAGAGAGCAGTATGAAGAGGAGCAGGAGGCCAAAGGTGAGCTACAGCGTGCTATGTCCAAGGCTAATAGCGAGGTGGCTCAATGGAGAACCAAGTATGAAACCGATGCCATTCAGCGCACAGAGGAGTTGGAAGAGGCAAAGTAAGTGTTGATTTTTCATAAGATTATGATTTGAAAGAGCAAAATTTTAAAGTTTTTGAAAAAAAAAAAAAAAAACTCTTTGCAGGAAAAAACTCGCCCAGCGTCTGCAAGATGCAGAAGAGTCCATCGAAGCTGTAAATGCAAAATGTGCTTCACTGGAAAAGACCAAACAGAGGCTGCAGGGTGAAGTGGAAGACCTGATGATCGATGTAGAGAGAGCTAATGCTCTGGCTGCTAACCTGGACAAGAAGCAGAGGAACTTCGACAAGGTTTTTACCATCATTTTCGTCTGTTTTTTTCCCAAAGAACACAATGCAATGAATTAGCAGCATGCATTTGGCTTCTTTGTGTTGACAGGTTCTTGCAGAGTGGAAGCAGAAGTACGAGGAAAGCCAGGCTGAGCTGGAAGGAGCTCAGAAAGAAGCTCGCTCACTCAGCACTGAAATGTTTAAACTTAAAAACTCATATGAAGAAGCTTTGGACCATCTGGAGACTCTGAAGAGGGAGAACAAGAACCTGCAACGTATGAAAAATCTAGCGTATTTATTCATGCAATAAGAGTAGCCACAGTGTTTAAAAATTACTTAATACTACAGATTCAAAAGCTAGGTAGTGTCTGAACATTAATCCAAACACATTTTTGTAAAAATGTCTGCAGTGTTTGTTTTTAAAGCACCGTAATACCAAAGACTGCAGTTTAGCAAACCCAAGAAAGTACTACAGAGGCAGATGAACAAAATCATTTCACTTGTCTCAATTCATTGATGAAATCTATTGTATTTTATATTTTTTTCCAGAGGAAATTTCTGACCTAACTGAGCAAATCAGTGAAACTGGAAAAACCATTCATGAACTGGAAAAATCCAAAAAGGTTGTTGAAACAGAGAAGTCGGAACTTCAAACATCTCTTGAAGAAGCAGAGGTATTGGTTCAAGCAAACGACCTTTAAATCAACAATGTTCATTAAGTTAATAAATTCTAACTGTCTCATCTCACTCTTTAACAAGGCCACACTAGAGCATGAAGAATCCAAGATTCTTCGCATACAACTTGAACTCACTCAGGTCAAGAGTGAGATTGACAGAAAACTTGCAGAGAAGGACGAGGAGATTGAGCAGATCAAGAGGAACAGCCAGAGGGTGATGGAGTCCATGCAGAGTACTCTGGATGCTGAGGTCAGGAGCAGAAACGATGCCCTGAGAATCAAGAAGAAGATGGAGGGAGACCTCAATGAGATGGAGATTCAGCTGAGCCACGCCAACCGACAGGCGGCTGAAGCCCAGAAACAGCTGAGAAACGTCCAGGGACAGCTTAAGGTAGCACAGTTAGCTGGAAAGGAGTTCTTACAGAACATGAACCAATAATATATTGTTCTTATGTTTATTATTATTTATTTTTTGTTATTGTTGTTGTTCATAAGGATGCACAACTGCATCTTGACGAAGCTCTGAGAGGACAAGATGACATGAAAGAGCAGGTTGCCATGGTGGAGCGCAGAAACAGCCTGATGGTGGCTGAGATCGAGGAGCTTAGAGCTGCTCTGGAGCAGACGGAGAGAAGTCGAAAAGTGGCTGAACAGGAGCTGGTGGATGCCAGTGAGCGTGTCACACTGCTGCACTCTCAGGTATATGATAACTGAATCCGCACTTACAAAATAACACACATCAAATTATTGCAAATAATAATTCTGACTATTAAATGTTAAGAATACCAGCCTCCTCAACACCAAAAAGAAGCTGGAGGCTGACTTTATCCAGATCCAAGGTGAAGTAGAAGATTCTGTTCAGGAGGCAAGAAATGCTGAAGAAAAGGCCAAGAAGGCCATCACTGATGTGAGTAAAGCTGATTCTCATCTGTGCAAAAGCCTGCGTGAAAAAGCAACACAAACAAAACAAGTTCTTGAAATTTTCAGGCTGCCATGATGGCAGAGGAGCTGAAGAAGGAGCAGGACACCAGCGCTCATTTGGAGAGGATGAAGAAGAACCTGGAGGTGACAGTGAAGGACCTGCAGCACCGTTTGGATGAAGCTGAAAATCTGGCCATGAAGGGAGGAAAGAAGCAGCTCCAGAAACTGGAAGCTAGGGTATAAGAAAGGGGAACCGTATAGTTTTATGTCTTGAGCATATATGGGTATAGTATTCATTGCTATTGCTATTGTTTTCTTTGTCTTTTATTCAGGTTCGTGAGCTGGAGTCTGAGGTTGATGCTGAGCAGAGGCGAAGTGCAGATGCTATTAAGGGAGTGAGAAAGTATGAAAGACGAGTGAAGGAGCTCACTTATCAGGTGAATATTTGTACACATGACAAAAATAACAAATATTGGAAAAAACTTGTTAAAAAGTTTGAGAAACCTTTGCATTTGTCTTACAATACTCCTTAAATGCTGATTTAAAACAGACAGAGGAAGATAAGAAGAACATTGCTAGACTGCAGGATCTGGTGGACAAACTGCAGCTCAAAGTAAAATCCTACAAGCGACAAGCTGAAGAGGCTGTAAGCAAACTAATCATTCATGCATAATGTTTTAAAATCTCTTTTAGCAGAAATAAGTTGACTTTTACTGCGCATTGTTGAACAGGAGGAGCAGGCCAATGCCCATCTCACCAGATACAGGAAGGTGCAGCATGAGATGGAGGAAGCTCAGGAACGCGCCGACATTGCTGAGTCCCAGGTCAACAAGCTGAGGGCCAAGAGTCGGGAAATTGTTAAGGTATAAAAACAGAATATTAACATGGCGCTCATTTATGTGTTTAATATAAAATTTTAGACTTCATATTGATGAGTAATCTTGTTTTCTTGCCTTTTCAGACCAAAGAATCAGAGGAATGATGAAGAGAACATGACTCAAGTTTGTGGTAACAAGGAATCATACAATATGAGTAACTTGTTACCTTAATAGCTTAGCATGTCAAACATGCAGTCATCATGTTAGATCAATAAAAGTAGCATAGTTGATGCACCACTTTTCTGACTGTCTTTTTTTAAAGCCCCATTTAAACACCAAAAATTGTTGCAATCTAAATGTTGTGAATATATCCTAAATTTCAAACTATAAAACCAAACCCATGAAAAGCAGATGCCACATGGACATATCTTTCTGCACTTCTCATATATTAGTTTGTGCTGTCTATGAACAGGTTTTCCCAATAATCATCATACAATTATGATAATCTTAGAATAGTACTAATGTATCTATCTAACTGATTGACTATGATGACAAATGTAAATATAATTGATTATATTAGATGTTTAGATATAAAGGTCTTTAAATTTTACCTGTTAATCGGGACCCTGAGATTATAATTCTACCTCCATTATTAACAGAAAGCTGCAAAGATCTGCAATGACCTTGATGGGTGTACTTCATTCAAACAGAAATTAGTTACACCCACAATTCCTGTACTGAAAGTCTAAGCTGTTTCAGATTGTATTAGTGTCAAAGAATTATTACTTCAGCCACTTAACTATAAGAAAACACCAAATAGGTGAATTTATAAACCAGATTATAATCTTTGGATCTGGAAAACATATAAACATTTAATTTAAAGACAAACATTTTTACTGTAAAACTAAAACAAAAAGGGAATATAAAAAAATATATATATTTTCTGGTTTCTATCTAATCTATAAGATTATTTTAAGTAAAACGCAAAAAGGTGACTATTTCAGTAGAAAACTATAATTCCAGCAGTATCCTGTATCCACATTTAAGTCATCTCTTCAAATCTGGAACTACAGTAGTCAGTAATTTAGCAAATAAAAAGCAATTTTAACTTTTTCTTACCTCTTTACACCTGCAGCTGACCAAATATGGCAGACAGATCAAATGTATTTATCAAAATAATGGCTTGCAAAATAAAAAGGTTGTTTTGGTCTAGAATTGGTCTAAAAAATAAAAATAAAAATTAACAGCATTTGTATTCCTTCTCATGATCTTTAAAAAGTGAAAATGTAAAATAATATATAGCATAATATAGTTGCATATGAAGCCAATAATCTTGTAGATGAAGATAAGTCAAAGATCAACCAAAGTGCTGAAACAGTGGTACTGTGGCTCTCTCTAGTGGTAGCTACTTGGAGGTAATTTAAATGAATAATGAATACAATTTCTACCCTGGATATTGCCAAACAACAATAGAGGGCACCATGTAAGTAGAGGAGATGGGGGGCATTTGGTCACATTTTATACATCCATATATATATCTTACAAACTAAACATCATTTGTATATAAAAATATGTACTAGATGAAAGACAAAATTCTTACATAATAATAATTTAACTTTATTGATCTCACACTGGAGAAATTTACCTCTGCATTTAACTCATCCCCTTGATAAGCAGTGGGCTGCCATTGTGCGGCACCAGGTGAGCAGTGTGGGGTTGAGGATCTTGCTCAGAAACCCAGAGTGCAGGATATGGGGATCAAACCGGGTACTTGCAACCTTCTCAGTGCACAAGCGCACTGCTCTAACCACTAAGACATCACTCCCCTTACGTATATTTTTTTGTATCTGTGTAATTTTTTTTAAATCTCATGTCAGAGCAGAGTTATAAACAATCTAATGGGGATTGTCACCATATGACAAGTTCACCCACCAAAAGGTGAGTTCATGCGGGAAGATGTCACACTGGATTTTGCAACCCATTAAATAAGGACAAAATCATTATTGTTGTTACTTTTTTATGGAAATTTAATAAATGGCAATAATTCACTTTTATCACTCATGAAATAACATGAAATAACATTTAATATTATGACACTGGCACTTGAACTGGTCTTGGAACAAAAGAAAATTGTCAGAGTCCTCATCTGAGTTTAAATTTGGCATAACGTATGTAGACTGAATTACCAGGGGTGCATTATGTATATGCCCATCCTTTGCATATCTTGATCTGCACCCATGTTTCCAATGGGTGGCTGTTTTGATATGACTCTATACAAACAAATCCAGGTTCCGATTTTGCCACTGCTAATTCATATGCCACTTTTCTCACCTCTAATGGAGACAAACCATAATAATACCTTTGTTGATCTCACATTGGAGGAATTAACCTCTGCATTTAACCTATCCCCTTGGGGAGCAGTGGGATGCCATCATGGGGCACCCGGAGAACAGTGTGAGGGTAAAGGGTCTTGCTCAGGGACCCAGAGTGGCAGCCTGTGGGAGTGGGGCTCAAAACCTCAGGATTCCAAGCTCTGTGCCCTAATCACTAGGCTGCCACTCTCCTAAACCAAAATATATGTCATAGGATCTCTTAATATAGCTCTCAGTTTCAATTCTTTCTCTGCTGAAAACCTGCCTTGGTGATATGTACCCATCCACTGCAGTCGGGATAGCTGTCTGACCCTGAATTTCAGCTGGTGTGAAAGTTATACAGTACCGCGCCAAAGTACGGTCGTTGACATTTAAGTCTTTCACCGTATTTGTGATGGACTTGTGAGCTAGGGTCACCTACCTGACTCCCCTCAGCATCACCAAAGTTTGGCCCTGCCATGCTCCTGAGAATGTTCTCCTCATCTTTTCCTCTCTTTTAAATAAAT